AAAAGAATTTGTCCTTCTGCAGAGAAAAAAGAAAATTAATCTTTAAGAAACTGTGTCATTAAGAAGACAAGCTGACTCTGGAATCTGGGATGCTTGAGTATGTATAGCTGTAGTTTTCTTGGGTTTCCTGAGGCATGATCTTGAAAGGTTAAGGAAGTTGGCTAGGTTTGCATTTTTCCATACTTGGTTCTCCTGTGCTCTTTCTCCTTTCCTACTGTCTTATTTGGGTGGAATAGAGAAAAGTGATAATTTTGTGGAATAGAGAAAAAGTGGAATAGAGAATCTCTATTCCTTTTGTGGAATAGAGAAAAGTGATAATTCATGATTTTTTCAGTGCCTCTTATTTCTTAATCTTAATCCATCTCAGCAACCAGGATAGGACTCCAGGATGAAGCTAGCTGAAGACGCATGGGAGAAATCACATTTGGACTGTAAAGCTTTTAGTGATATAAGGTAAATCATAGAATCATAGAACAGTTGGAAACAACCTTGAGATCATCTCGTTCCAACCCCCCTGCCATGGGCAGGGACGCCTCACACTAGAGCATGTTGCCCAAGGCTCCTTCCAGCCTGACCTTGAACACTGCCAGGGATGGAGTGTTTACCACTTCTTTGGGCAACTCACCACCCTCACAGTAAAGAACTTTTTCCTTGTATTGTCCAATGAAATGCAAATGTATTTTTTGCAGTGATAAGAACTAAGAGTCTGGGTTAACAAAAGGTTTTGCAAAGCAGCAAAGGTGGTATTGCTTCTCTGATTAATATCTATTTACTCCCTCAAGAATCTTACACAAATAGGATAAGGTATACCAGGCTTCGCTTGCAGCTCGTATTTGCTTAGAGTTTGTATAGCTCAAGATCATAAGAAGTGCAGATCTTACTTGGGGGGAGTGTTCCTCTGTGCGTCTGAAAAGGGCTTAGACACCTTAAGAATCCACTTCATTATGTTTAAGAGCAAAAATATGAAAACTAGGGCATCTAGCATGACTATGTATAAAGGAGCTTTAATTTGAGATCTGGGATTTATTTACTCACAACATATGCACATACTCCATTCTACTTTGTATCTCCTAGCCATCATTGGCCAAACCACCTCTTTTCTGAATTTCTCCTATCTACACCATGATGTGGGAAACGGTTCCAATCAGACTGAAAGGCAGATTTGTCTTATTATTTGTCTTTACATGTTCTGCACTAATTTCACACTCTGAAAATCTATTTTCACTGACTTTCTTAAAATTACTCTTCTTGTGGGGCAGCATTACCTGTTTGTATTTGATGTGGAGGATTGCTTCTGAGAGCAGATTTGTGTCAGTTGTTCTTTATGCTACCAGTAGATGGGTAGCAGCAACTAGAATTTCAGTGGACTAACAGCATTTCCATTGGATGTGTTTGATCAGGGGAATGTTCAATACTGGCAGGGAACTAGTTGCTCTTTGTGTTTTCTTTCTCTCTCTCCCCCCCTTTTCTCCAAAACCATTCGCCATATTGTCCTCCCACCCATAGAAACAGTCTTGATTCTACAAGGAAATGAGCTAAAATATGAGCACTTTAAATTTTTAGTCATTCCAGGTATCTCTAATTGAGGTGATAACAGCAATTAGTTAGATGATTTTCTAGAATTATAGGAAAGGGGAGGGGTGCATTGTTCCATTTTTGTTTTCCACTCTGCAGCAGTTCAAGACCAGTGCCTGAAGATGGTTAAATGTACTTGGTGCATATATTTTAAATGAAATCCAAATCTTACTTATGACAGTACTGATTTCAGTCCAAACGGCTTAAACTTCTAGTTTATCCTGTAGAGATGTAAAATCACTACATTCTCACACAGAAATCCCACACGTGAAAGGGAGCTGATTGGTTTGGAGGATTTTTTGCCAAAATGTAGCACACAAAAGCCAGTTCATAGAAGAAGTAAGGAGAGATGGGGAAAAAATAGATTTATCTATTCATCCTTTCTCAGTACAGGCATGTTCTCTGTACTGTTCTGTATTTTTGCCAGTCCAGTTTCAAATACTTTAACAATGGTGTCTCTCATGCTTCCCTTGGATAGCAAATTACAAGAAGTTCCTTAGTCATCTTTTTCTTTCAGTCTCTGACAGGATGTTCAAGAGAACCACTTTGTGCCATATTTGTAGCTGTACATGTTTGTATCACAGTATTTTGACCTGGTAGCTGCAGCGTATTTAATCCTAGTATGTTTCTTCAAATCAGTAACATTACCATACCAAAACTAATATGGCTTGTGAATTACTGTACACAATATCCCTATCTGGTATATTCGTAGCATTTTTTTTCTATTATTGCAGTCTTTACTGAGTGCACTATTTATCAGATTTTATAAGGAATGGGCTTTGCAAATGCCATCACTTGAGTATAATGCTATTACTTGAGTGATTTTACTAAAGTGTGCTAAATTATGGCACCAGAGCAGGTGCTATTGTCTATACTCTTGGAAAGAAAGGAAAAACCCTTAAATGATCCTGGACATTTATACCTAAAGGAAACAATCCTTTATATTAAAATAAAAAGATTGTTTTGTGCTCAGTCAAGGGAATTCTTGGCAGTCAGTTTAAACTTAGATGTATATATAGCACACTGGAGCCTGCTAAGTACCTCTGTTTTCTTTATGGATGGAGCTTTGGTGCCAAGAGGTCTGCACCACATGCAAGCATAGATATGCTTCTATCTGATGGATTGTCCTATAGTGAACCACATTGTATACAGGATGTTCAAACACGTATTGATTATGTGGTTCTATAGTTTACAGCACAATCATAACCTGATGCTTTTAAGTACGTATATGCAATCAATCTTCATGTGAAGGGGCTCAGTACAAAGGAAATATTTTATGGTATACATTAGATGTTAGATTAAATGACATTAGATTAAATGTATGTTATACATTTTTTAGCCTCATCCCCATAGTGTTATTGTGAATCTACGCAGTTCTTACAAGCACCATCTTTGTGTTGACTATGGACTGTAAATACATAGTACAGTTCATAGTGTGTATAACGCTATTGTGGTTTTAGTACCAGGTCTCATGATCAGCTACAAGGGAAAAACTGCATGTGACAGAGATGCAAATTTTTTTATAGGGCTACTTTTATGTTTGTTACATATCTATGAAACTTTCCTTCAACATTGCATTACAAAATAAGAAATGTGTACTTGAGGGGGAAAATTAGCATGCTGATTAGGTTTTAGTCCATTGTGCAAATAAAATTGAAACATATGTTTATAGACTATCTTTCTTCTGGTACTTTGATGTCAGCTTCCAACTGATTATATACAAAATTTAGATGATTTCATTCACCTGCTACTTCTAAACATAGAAATGAGTACAGAATTTCTCAAAACTGCCTTATGTTAGCAATTTTGAAAGGGGTTATGTTATCTTACAGTGCCTAGCTGTATAAAAGATGCTTTAGACTGGTAGTATTTATTGTAAGTTGGAACAGGAGTACTTGAATGCTTCTTCTGGAGCAGCTTTCATGTTCAGAATCTTTATTCCAATCTTCTGGACCTATGAAAATTATAGAAATGTAAATAAGACTATTTGGTGATAATATGGTGATCATCCTATTTACCCAAACAGTTGTGTCTGTGTTCACTCTTAAACTCCCACTTTTCAATCATTCAAATTCCTTTTCCTCTCATTCATTTTTTGTGAAATTTATATGTTGACTGTATGTTGTTATCCCTCATTATATAAGGTTTTTAAAAAATGTTGCTGTCACACAGCCATTTCAGAACTCAATAACTATATTAGCTATTTCTGCAACGTGTGTGGTGGCTGTCTTATGGCAGAGGAAAAGAGCATGCTTGAAATGAAGTTTTTATTTGACTGGAATTCAAAAGAATACTGTACAATAGTATTTGCAAAACTCCGCAAGCAGCTGGGTCTTAGCCTGTCGATGCATTTGGCCAGTAATTCGTGCAGAAAAGATCTGCAGCAGATAAATATTTGTAGAGAGACATATAAAGAGAATGGCCTGAGTTTGGTTCCCAAACCTTTAGTGGAAGACCCTGCTTATCAAAGGCAAGGCGCCCAAGCTGAGATGTGTGGAAGAAGGCTGTTGCACACCACCTCCATGTGTGTTTGCCCAAGAACAGGAAGCCCATCACCCATTGTGTCCTCCACCACCGAGTTATAAAACCTGCACATAGTTTTATAATAACACATATAGTGATATGTAATGTTATTACATGCCTGCTGTTGTCGTAATCCTGCAGTGATGGTGCTTCATGCAAGTATATGCAGGCAAATACAAAAGCCTGCATCTAGGCCTGATCTGTTAAGTAAAAGTATAAAATTCACTGCATGTGATGTTTCATACCATAATGACCACTGTGTAAGTATACCTGCACAAGAATTCTAATCAGCAATATGGACTCTTACTCACTTTTCACCATTACTGCAGGAAACTGAAATTGGTGTTTAAGAAATAGTTTGATTTAGAAATAATTTTTGTAGTTTATACAAGCAAATTCGATATACCTTGGGTCCCCCACATGACTTCATTGATGTATTTCTAGGCTGTGCAAATGGCCATTATTTTTCTAGTGTCGTTAACTGTCTTTTTGCCATGGTGCTGTCTTGCCATATCTTCTTCAGTTATTAGTTGCTACAATGAACAGTAAAGGTATTGGTGACTGAAGATGACTGTGCTGTAAATCTGTTAAGTTCTGTTACTGTCTCATGTTTCTTTTTCTTTGCATTTTCTTACCTGTAACATAAATAGTTATGGAAGAAACATAACCCTAAGATTAATGATAACTGGCTGATTTTGTTTCCTAGTTTCATTTTTCATTACCGAAGTTATCCAATTTAGTTCACAGATTTATGTTTCTAAAAGAGATGTTTGAAATCTAAACTTGGATCTGTCTCTATAACAATTGTACATGTATTTTAAAGTTTGGATTACTTGAAGCTATGAAAGCACTTACACTTTTAATCTTGTAAGAAGACTGTGTGTGTATGTCATCTTTGCTAGGTGGTGCGCATGAGGGTCTCCAGCACTTGGGTCCTTATGGCAATATCCCAAACATTGTAGCTGAGCTGACAGGAGATAATGTACCGAAGGATTTCAGTGAAGACCAAGGATATCCTGACCCTCCAAATCCCTGCCCTACTGGAAAAACAGGTAATTCTGCTGTGGCCTTCTCACCGTACCTCTTTCAGTCTTTTGGCACTGTACTAAGTAGTACAACAGTTGATCAGCAGTGGGTGTTTTCTTCCGTTCTCAAGGAGCAGAACTGTTGATGAATCCAGGTGTTTTAGATAAGCTTTTTTTTTTTTTTTGTTAATATGTGCACCTTCTGTATTGCTGTATGAGTGCTAGAGAAGGTCAGGTGGAAGAAATCATCTTGGAGTAGAAGATAGTGAGATTTACTATAGTGTTTTGTTCCTGAGGGAGTTCATTTTTAGGCTGGCCCCTGAAAAAAGTTATCATTCTGTACAGATGAGATTTACCCTTATTTTAGAGACTTTCCTTGTGCCAAGAGGAATGAAACTGTCTGCCCTGATCTCCAATCCAGAGCATAAGTCAATATTTAAGATACTTTGGCTCCAGTCCATGTGGCTTTATAGCTCACTGAGGGTGCATCTGCGCCAAGAAACAGAACGACGTGGACATACTCCAGCGCACTGCACATAGGGTCACTCTGGCAGAGGAGCAGTGCAGCCTTGGAGTGCGGAGCAGTATCGTACCGGAGATAACCAGTGCATCCCTCAGCTTGCAGCTGTGCATACTCCAAGCCATGCTTGGGTGGCTTGTGTTGAAGGATGTCGAAAGCAGCACTGCATGTGCGTGATAAAGGCATATCCTAAGGGAATTGATCTTTTCCCTGTTACTTGAGCCAAGGAATGACTTCCAGTTCTGAAAGTAGTAGTAAAATACCCATTGGCTGCCTTGGGAGCTGGAACTAGGAATGAGCACTCTATTTTTCTCATTTTTTTCATTCGTGAGCTAAGAGATCCTTTAAAAATCTTTTCTGTTTAGTCTTCTTTTATGTTATTAGGATAATGCAAACCAGTTGTCTGTATTCTTATTTAAAAAAGTTCTAAGTAGCTTAGAATTGATAAAAAAAAAGACATGAAAAGTTTTGCAAACAGTGTTTTTATATTTCATTCAAAAATATGACAAGATTTTGAATAGTCCTCCCTTACTGTTTTCTATTACAGCCCATTTGGTGATGATGCCTGCATCTCTTCTGAAATATCTAATCTTCCATTTTGTTCAATATAGCTGTTGCCTGACAGGTGGCAAATGATGGGTTTAAGTTTTCTCACACACATAACATACAGAGACTTTCTAAGTAAGTTCTGTGCTTGCCCATTAGACTTGTTAGTGATCAGATAAATAAATTTAAAACCTGACATCCAGAGAAACGTATTTGAAAATCCCTTCAATTTTTCTTTCTTAGGTGAAATAAAAGTTATTAGCTATTAGCTACGCTAATACAGTCAGATCTGAACACAGGGGGAATTCACAGGGAAGAGCTGCCTGCTAGGATAAATGGCTCTGTCGTAGGTACTCTGGGAGTAAAGATAGTATCTACTAGGATTAGAGTAAAATGTTTTTCAGAGCCTTAAATGGAAATTCAAGTGGTGACTGTATTATGCATACAAATTACCAGAGGCCTTCCTCAATCAGGTCTGTGGATTTGCTTAATGGAAAACAATTTTTCCAGTCACTGTCTACATATGCACATTCCACAGCAGGAATACGTAAGCCTGGAGCACTTGAGCTTGAAGACTTTTGAATTAGCAGTCACAGAAGACACACATGTCCAGCTGCCCTTTGTGTTTTCTACCAAAAAGACACAGATGCTCTGAGAAAATCTGCCACATTTCTGTTGTCACCTGCTTCTCTCTTGCAATGACCTTGTCCTTGCTGAGACTGAAATATTTTTTAAGTGCTTGTGACCAAGTTTAATGGTTTCTGAGTTGTTTAACCACTGTGGTTAGGTTTCCCCTGTTTCCTATTGGAAATTTTTTTCCTCCTGTTTTAAGGAGAAAGGAGAGAAAGCAGGATCTCTTGCACTTAGAATAACCTCCTCAGGTCATTAAATCAACTCATTTTTAAGTCAAGTCTACTGTTTCCCACATCTAAGGGAAAAAAGATAATCCATCTGCAGATCTTTTTACATGATGATCACACAAGTACGGAAAAGAAAGTTCACAGGTGTCCCCTCCAGAGTGCCTGCGTTCTGGCAGATGTAGCTGTTTGGATGCCCAGCGTCATGCTCCATGGTAGGATCTCCTTGGGGGTATGTCTGAGAAGAACTAGGACTGCAAGCTCCCCATGTTGACAAAGCAGAGGGAGGTCCACAAGCAGACTGTATCCAAAAAGCTACTCTGGCCTCAAGTCACTGAATCTTTGTTTAATCCAAAGATGACTTTTTTTTGGTTAAAAAATTTTTAAAGGGCATTGGCCTTGAAGTGACACTGTCTGCAAAACCATCCACTGTGATTAAAGGAGGTTTCTGGACCCATCAGATACTTACAAATCTGCAGAAGAGTCTTCAGCATAAAACTTCTGCCACATTGCATTTCTATGAGCTTTTATGATGCATAAATGATTTTCAGCCATTTTGAACAAAGTAGCAAACCAGAAATGGAATTCATGAAGAGCTGCTCAGTGAAGGAAATTCTGTTTTGCTCACAGCATTGTTTTACCATGAGCTTCAAAAGTATTGCCTAAACAATTTCTAAAGCTTCCTTTAGGCATTTAAAAATGAAAAGAGGATCCAATCCTTTCTGAATCAGAATAACATGCAGTTCTATGTAAAATCAAGTTCAATCACTAATTTAAAAGGAATTTTTGTTTTAAATTTAGAAAAGAGTGGGAGAGCTGGGAAAATAAATTTGTTCAGTTTCGAAGTCTCATGAAGTTGTGGTTTTGGTTTTCTTTTTGTTGTTTTTTTTTTTAATTAAATATATCCTGACAAACTCCTTTTTTTTAAAAAAATAATCGGATGTTTTCTAGTCATCCAGGTTTTTTGGTTTGTTTTTTATTTTGATTGCATAGTTGCATTAAAGAAGTTTGTTGATTAATGTGGTACATAGTGCTTTCTAACATACTTTTGCAGTTGATGATGGATGTCTAGAAAACACCCCAGACACAGCAGAGTTCAGCAGAGAATACCAATTGCACCAACACCTTTTTGATCCAGAGCATGACTATCCCAACATGGGCAAGTGGGTAAGTACATGCTGCGTGATTATTTTTGTGGCATGTGAAACTGCGTATTGTCTGCTGCATGGGATACTATGAAACCACAAGGAGAATATTGTGCTTACTGCTGGAAAAATTAAGGGAAACTTCTTAAAAAGATGGACTTGGCCTTAAAAATATAGGAATAATGACTGATTGATTGGTGAAAAGCCCATAAAAATAGAAAGTAGAAATCCTTCTCTCATTACCTGTCCCAAAGCACAACAACTGTGTATGAGCTTGATAAGTGCAGCAAACCACATTTCAAACTGCAGTAAACATGTAATTGAAATTAGTCCAGATTTTAGTGCAAGGCTTCAAAACATAGCAGGTCCCTAATTTGAAAGATTATCCAGGTTCAGTGACTGTTCACTGTTCAGCTACTTAGATATTAAAAAATAAATAAAGAAATGGAGTGTAACAGTGCATGAACACCTTAAAAAATCTTGGTTCAAACAAATTGGTCTGAGGAAGCTCTCTGGCTTAAGGATTTTGGAGGACTGATGCTGCTTCTTCCTCTATTCAGGTTGTGCACTGACATTAAAAACCTGTCACCTTGCACATTGCATATAATAAAGACAGCAAGCTGCACTAAGGTCAAAAATCTTGCTCTGAGCATACAAGGACCTTAATAACTGCAGCTAGACTATTTCTGAAGGGTAAAGGCTCCAAAGTGAGGTCTGATGCTTAATCTTAGATTACATCAGTCAAATGTCCAATCCCAAATCCATCTTCAGGCACCAAGAAAACAGTAGCAATGATCATAATTTATGCTTCTACAGCAAATCACAAAATCTCATTTTACATTGTTATAACACTTTAACAACTGAAGATTGCCATAAACCAGTGCTCTCTAAGCATATATCGATAAATGGACATGCTTGGCAGCCTCTACTCCTGCTTTAATTGTGAGACAATGATTCATCATTCATAATCAAACCAGCAAAGATTTATAGTCTTAATTACTTATGTGAGTGCTAAATTTCTAGAGAGAATCATGCCAAATATCCAAATTTTGGAAACTCTTGTTGCATTCTAAGTAATTACCATCAAAGGTTTTTATTTTAAAAACACCAGATGGTGCATTTTCTTATTTATGCCAGACAATGCTGTTATTTTTCTTATTATTCATAAGTAATTTACTTTCATAATACCATTTTGAAGACTATAAAAGCACCTCTGTAAATCTTTGGCCTATAGCAATATTTCAGAATCAAGCATACATACGGCATTGTCATCAGCAATGTATACGCTTAAGAAATTGTAGGTGATCATTAGTGAATACTGGCCTTTTTCATTTCTCCATCCATCACTACTAATTCAGGGGAAAAAACTCATGCATAGATTAAAACAGACTGTTAGGTACTAAACAGTAATCATATCTAGCTGCAGCATAGCCAGCTCCAGATCTCTTTAATTAGAGATGAAACAGCTGGTAATGTGCATGAGCAAATGTTCTGCTGAGATCCAGGAGAATTGCCCCAATTGCCTCCTCATTGTATATTATTACACGTTAAAAAGATAAATACAACCATATCTGGTTTTATGGCTGGTTTTGTTATTTTTATCTCTCTAGAAAAATAAGAGCAGAAAAGCACTCTAAAAATTAGCTGTTTGAGGCTTTATAAATGAGAGATAAAGTAGATCAGATCTTTTAGATCACTTACTGTCATCTGGGTTAGGTTGTAAATGACCAACAGAGCCAACTTGCGGGCTGCTCAGCATGTGACTGTGTGCATCCTCATCCTCCCACTGCCCCCAGCCACCAGAATTCCACTAGCAGCCCATTCCTGCTTCTCCTGTGACAGAGCCTAGGATCAAACGCCCCAGGGACTGTAACGGCTGTGTATTTACAGACTGCATTTCCACGAACTCCTGCGTGCTGTGAATGCACTAGGCTGTCACCACTGTCTGAGGCCCTTGGAGCCAGAGTGTCTCCTGGACCCGTGTGAGCTGGCATCTCCTCACAGCTCTTGGGGGAGCTTCTCCCCTGCCTTTTCCTGCCACGGAGTGGTTGAGGCAGCGTTACAGCTCCCTCTGACTTGTCCTTTCAAGGAGCCAGCATGCATTCCTTAGCGTAACCGCAGTAAAACCCAGATTACATTAGCAGGTCAGGGAAAAAAAACAAATAACAACTAAAAGACCTGCTCGTTCATGAATAATGGCAAAGAAACAGGTTGGTTGATTTGTTTTGGTGACAGACTCTCATGCTTGCAAAGCTGTGGGACCTCTGCAGTACCCTGTGAATAGTAGACACATAAGGGTAAAACAAGTCTAGAAGCTGTCTCGTACAGGAAAGTGTATGATTCCATGTAGATGTGAAATATTACATGTAGATAATACTAATACATAGGATGATACAATATATGAATCATAACAAATGTATACTGGGTTAGGAGAGGGAAGAAGAAGAATTTTCATGTCTTTGGGACAACTTTCCAAATATCAATATGCTGCCTTGTGGGAAGTCCTGGAAACAAGTTGTTTATATGGCGAGATAATTAGCTTATACTCTTCTCTAGCCCAAAGACTCTTTTTACTTTCTTTTTTCTCCTCATACATGGAAAACCTAGAGGGGACAGTGGGACTAGTAAGATAAGGAACTTTTGGAACTTTATACCCTATTGTGTAACTATAGTTTTTAAGATTTATGTTGTTGGTTGGTTGGTTTGGGGTTTTCTTACCTTCAGTTCAGACTTTTCCTTGCAGGAGACAAGTACTTTCCATTTGAGTCTGCCTTTTCTGTGTCTTACAATTTGACTCTTTAGATAGTCTGAAAAAGTTCTGTTGGCATCCAGAAAGACTTGCAAAAAGATAGCATACAATATACAAATTACAGTACAAATCTAAACCCCACTTATATATAAATTATTGATTGAAACCCAAAGTGTTAACTACTACTACATGTAGGGGTTAAAAAGAGGAGGGCAATTCAACTGTAGTTTCTGACACCAGTATCAGTACAAATGGAAAATTAAAAGCAACTGTGTTTTTCAGTAACACCTCTTTTTACTGAAGCAATGGCTAACACTTCATTTTAAGGGTAGAAATAATGCCAGTTTTGCTTATCAGCTACATGGAGGCATACAAGACACTGCAAAGAAAGGCAAATGGGAAACAGGGATAAAAATATTTGACAAAGTTGAACTTCTTGTTAAAGAAGTTATCATCTCTGTCTTCCTAATTTTAATGGAAACATGAAACCAGTTACTCAGATTTAATTTTAGTCCAACTTCAGTTACAGTGAGTAACACTAATTCTTCTTTACCAAATATCTGGATGTCAAGGGTGATTATTAGGAAAGGTCTTCAATTTCAGACAGTCCAGCTTGTTTCATTCAGTGTAATATGCTTGATGTAATAAAAATTGTCATGCTTGATATACCGAATAAGACTAAATTGCCAGAAAAAAAGCCCTTCTGAAAGGATGCAAGCTTGCTAATGCAGTTTTCTTTTTCAGTTTTGCTTAATAATTGTGCAGGTCCAGATTAAAGAGCTGCCAATTATCAGTGATTTAAAGCTTCAGCGAAGTCTGAAAGATCTAAGGGTAACTCTCCCTGACATTAGTTGGTTAGTTGTAAGCATTTTAATTTCTGGGGTTTTCCCACCCAAATCCCAACCTGTAGTAGCCTAATCCAGGAGGGTGCAAAGGAAGCTCCAGAGCGAGGGGAAAGCAGCAATTCATATGCAGCACATCTCCATATGAGGTGTATCTTTAACTGGAGAAATTCTGCCTTCAGTCCTACCAACTCCTAAGTGATGGATGAGAATGGTGAGCACTTCAGGGGCAAATTTTGGTGCCTGATGAGCGTGGGCCCTTACGCAGTGGAACATATTTTCAGGAGTGCTGTTACCGCACAAGAATACTCTTAGCTCATGCTCCGTAACCTCATTTGCTTTGCACTCTGCATAGCGCTTAAGTAGTAGTTACACTCTTCAAGCATTCCCAAAGAGACTAAACAAAATAGTCTTTCTGATCAGGAACAGTTCAATTGTAAGGAATTTTCCTGAGTGACAGAAATCTTAGCTGCAGTAGTCAAGAAATTCTTTCAGTTTCAGAAATGCTGTTCCTCTGTGAAAAGTATAAGGTCAAATAGTTTACAGAGAGAGGCTTCAGCAATGCTTTGTTTCATAAATAGAATAATTTACACATCTGAAGGTTTAAAATGTTAAATTGGAGTTTTCCCGAAGTCAGTTTGCATAAATGACTAGTCAGGAATGTCTCCCTTGGCCAACTTCATCTCTGTTCCTTTTTGGAACAACTCAGACAAAATAACTGAGGTCGGGCAAGAGATAGGCTTTGTGAATTTGGGGTTTAATGAACATGAGAAGTACAAAATAGACAATTTTGGCAGATTTCATTGTAACACTTGAAAATGTTTGTTTTTTCTCATATCAGGGCTGCAGAGAGGATAGAAGTGTTTGGTGAATTTGTCTCGCGCTAGAATTACACTTTCTATTTATATAATCAATGTTAGGTCAGTTGTTTATAGCAGAATTAATGGCCTTGTTTATACAGTGTTCTGCTTTTATACATGTAATTCTTCTCTTCTTCCATTTTCAGGTTAGGGTTGAGTTTTGTTTTTCTTCATAATACACAATTGAAACAAAATGTGTTGAGCATGTGTGTTATTCCAGACTTTATTAGAATTCACTGCTTGTATGAAATACAACAATATGTGGATGCACTTATGTAAACTATGGTCAGAGAGTTTTTTTGTGTTGTATTTTTTTTCTTCTTCTTTTCTAATCATCATAACTTTCTCTTCTGCCAAGATGTTTTTGGCAGTTTTCAAAAGGTTTGCCATTAAAAAAGTTATAGACCAAATGGTTTTTAGAGACTTTATTGAGGGCACTACTTAAACAAAAGAAGAGCTGGCTCTGAACTCCTTTCAGCAGAGCTTTGCACTGGGAAGTGTTGATATCTGGAATGGAATAAGCTAAGACAACAAAACAGTAGGAATGACGCCAATTGCCATTTTAAAAGGAATTATAAAATCCCTTGTAAAGCAAATATTTTTGCTTCTGTTCTTGTGTCACCTCAAGTGTATAGAAAGATGCATCAGAGGCAGGATTCCTCCTTCCTATCCCTCCCACTCTTATTTTTCTTTTTTTCTGTCCCTTTTTTTTTCTTTTTTTTTTTCATACCGTATATCACATGATGGGGAGCATCCAGTTAATATTGTTATGTACTTGAAGCATTTACTGCCTGAACACAGATGATAATATAGTGCAACATAGTGGAAAATTACTGGCTTTTAAATTGTCAATAAGACTGTGACAGCTTCTGAAGAACTGCAGAATGTTACCAAGAATATCTAAATATTTATTTGTGGTTTATCGGTCCTATAAAATTACACACCCCTCTAAACTTGGTAATATTTAACAGAAAAAGTTATATATTTTTAAATAAAAGTGTAATAAATTTAATGGCTGCATTTCTTCTCCTTCCAGAGCAAGAACTTACTCTTTGAGAAGATTAATGGTGGTCCAAAAAGAAGAAAGAGGGTAACTATCAAAATGCTTTACAGCCCCTGTATCATTTAGAGAGCTAATAAGAATTAATATCATACTGTTGAAAAGTCAGTCTAATGCTTCTGCATTATACCTTAGATAATGTGTAAAGTCAGGGAATCTCTGTGATAAACTACTACAGCAAGCTTCAGGACTGTCTGCCGAGTACAAGATCTATTTCTCTAAATAGCTCATTGCTTTCAGAAGATGCGCTTCAATGCAGAGCATTAATTTAAAAAAAATTATATTAGCTGTGTTTTAAATCTATGCTATTTGCGTAAAACCATTTAAAATTATTTAAATGTCTTTAAAACATAATCTAAGTTTCCTACTAAAATATTGGTAAAATTAATTATCACTACCCATGCATGTGAATATGGTTTTAGGTGTAAATGACAGTGGGACTGGTTAATTAGCTGATGTAATTTGATTCACCTACGTACTTAGATTTACCTCAGATTAAACTCCTGCCTTTGTGTCCCACTTGCATGAAAGACAAAGATGAAGGCATTCTCATCTCTCAGCCCCTGAAAAAGGAAGGCAATCCATGTATCACATAGAAGCTCTGTGCAGTCCACCTCACTATCGCCTCTCTCTTTTTAGTAGTGTCAAGCTTCCTTTTATCAAAAATCACTCTCAAGCAGAGTCAAGTCTTCAGCTTTGTCGCTGGTATATATATGTATTTTTTTTACAAGAAGAGAAAGCCTAGCTGTCTGCCAGAAAGTAGCCTTTCAAAGTATGACAGCACAGTTTATATTGTAAATGGAGTAAATTTGGTTTAAAATAACTGAAACATTTATTTATTTAACTCTCAAACCTAAAGTCTTTGCTAGAACGGGAGAAGATGAGTTCATTTCTTACCGATTCACATACCGCTGGCAGTGAACACCGTTCAGCTGTAAATTAATGATCTATCTTCAGCTTATTATCTGATTCCCACTTACGTTTGATTTTCAGTTTTGTTAGTAGAAAAGGAAAAAGTAGGCACCTGATTTTCACTCTGAAGTGAGTAGAATTTACTCTGGAAATAGTTATTTGGATTATTTATTAATAGCTAGAACAGCATGTTAGAGTAGGATTAGAGCAGCAGCAGATTTATTTTCTTAGCACAGGCATGTCAATAGTAAATTCATTATAATTTAAAGTATTTTATTGTTTTGAGAGTAGTACTGTAACAATTACTAATGCTTTAATGAACAATTCAGAGTTTCTGCTTTGTCAGCAGAAGGGTAACTGAGAGCTGTCACCATCAGAGTGTATTTTTCCAGAAACCAAGAAGATCACTGGATTCCCCTCCTGCCTTCTGCAGTCCCTGCCACTCCTCCATGCCCTTCTGCACAGACAGAGAGGTTAGAGAGGTTAGCTTCCAGCAACAGACTGGTCTTTAGGGTCAGAATATCCATATTTCAGCTTAAAGAAAGTCCTGTCCAAATGTGTACGACATAACTGTGGTGTATCTATACAATGCTATAGATACAGAGTAGTCACAGAGGCACTATTGGTGTCTACAAAACAACGTATATTCTGTGTGCATATAAACACACATACTAACATACATACACACAAATGACCAGTATAAATAGCAAAGGTACGTATTTACTGTTTGCTACTGTCTTTTTTTTTTTTTGGCAGCATTTGCAGTGCCCAACAAGCAAGCCTATGGGGACCACTAGTTTAACTAGCAGTTCTCCCCTTTTTAAAATATCTATGCATGAGCATAGCCCTGTCCAGAATCTATTATCCCAGACATGACAGGAGTGCTTCTGTAATCACTGAGTCACATTGCCATGGTCTCCGAGCTGAGCACGCAGGTGCTTGGGAATCATGTTACTTTGAATTCAGCACAGCTGTGTAGGATTAGACATTTTTTAGCGAAATCAGCCAAAAATTTTGCTTTTTATTATGTGTTTTCTTTTGTCAGTTGAGAATTCAAATTTTTCTGTATTCTCATTCTCTTCCACTTTAGTTCAAAAAGTAGCAAGTACCATTCCATAAAAAAGACCAATTCATCTTCCTAAGAATCTTCAAATAATTCCTAGAAGTTTATGCAACAGACGAATTTCACTAAATTAACATGAAACAGAACTTCTTTAAACAAACACAAACAAATCATTTACATGTGTCTTATTTTTAACAATTTAAAGCATTAAATTAGTGTTTTGTTTTCAAAGATTTTTCCACATTCATTTTTGGTTCTTAATATTTTTATGTTTTTACTTGCAGCAAGCAAAGCACTCAAAAAACAACAGAAGCAAGCAGAAAGGCTGCTCTGTGCTATGATTAGGTATTAATGATAGCATTTACAAACCTGGAGAAACCCAAGGTCTTAAGCTTGAAGACAAGATAAACCCCAAATCTTTTCCAAAGTTTTGGCAAATACTTAGGATATTTGAAAATAAATATTTCATGCCTATTTTAAAAGTTGGAGATTTTTTCTTTTGTTTTCCATAGTTTTGAATTCCTACATTTTGGGGAAAGAAGCACAGAAATATCCTAAGTAATATTTGTGATACAGCCAGCCTGACAAGAATCAGGCAAATTTGCATTCCTCCATAGTTTGTCCTTAAGCAAACAAATTTTATTGGCATCAAAACCCAGCACACTGGAATTTTTGTCTATATCTGTGAAAGTATATACTTGAATTTTATTTACACTGACACTGTAACAAGCCAGAAAGTGGGTGTAAATAATATTTAAGTTAATTCTGAAGCTCCACTAAACTGCTTGATACTTGCAATTACAGTAAATGCATTTTATTCCATTGCTACAGATAAAATTCAAGTATAGACATTCTACAGTATTATGATCTCCAAACAGTTTTGAGACAGGATCTGTTCATCTTCAGTTTCACGTTGTGCTGCTTGCATGGTGCAAAGTGAAGTTAAACCCTCTCCAGGGATATCCTTTCCAGCCTTCCCTTGTTCTGGCAGTGGTATGAGAGCTATTTTCCTTATGCCAAACCCTTGCTTGGCTCTGCTTCTGTGCCAGCACTTTTTTATCTTGGTATCAAGAGAGGAAGCAAGGAGGGGTTTCCTGGAGAAGAGATAGGCTAAAGAAGAGACTTTGGTCAGAAATGGTATCATGGTATCTAACTCGTCTCCCAGCATAAGATTCATCAGAGCCTAAAAAGCTAAAGCTTACTTGTACTCTTCAAGCAAGTTCCGTCCTGCCTCAGGAATTAGGGAATGAGATCTGTTGCTGCTGCTTCTCTGCTGAGCTGAGGAAAGTAGAAGTGGAGCAAAAAGACAGTGTTTAATTCAAACTGTCCTTTATTCTCAGTTGTTCTCCTTCATTTGTATGCTTTTTAGTGGATAGGATTAAAGTCTTGCACACAAAAAATACTAGAAAACAAATCATTGATTGACTTTCAGATTTACTCCCTGGGAGTAATTTTTTTTTGTTTTTCTTCAGTGTGCAAGTATTTGACAGATAAGAAATGTATAAATAGATCCATGAATCCTAGTTACCTTTTGTATATTTCCCTGTTTCTAATAAGTATAAATAATTTGAAACTTTTTCAGAGTGTGAACCCGTATCTGCAAGGACAGCGACTGGATAATGTTGTAGCAAAGAAGTCTGTTCCACAGTTTTCAGATGAAGACAAGGGTCCTGAATAAGTACAATAAAAATGAATGATGAAAACTCATGCCATCCTCTGCTAGAACATAATATTGCTTATATATAATCATCTATTAAAATCCTTGTGAATGGCAGCGTGTTTATTATTTATGTAATTGTAGATGAAAAACAGCTGTATTTATAACAGTATGTTCTCCTAGATAACAAAAATATGGTTCTGCTTTTTGTTAATTTATGGTAAAAGGACATTTCTGTTGTTTTTATTTTAGTCATGGAGAAAACTTTAAAAATGTTAGTCATTTTAATAGCTAACGTGAGGTAAATGGTCTTAATGAGCAGCTTGTAAATAGGAAGATGTAAAAAAATGCCCAGTCGGACTCCAACATTTAATCTTAAATGCTACGATGTTTGACACATGAAAATTATAGTTTTATGTTTTGTTCACAAATATTGTTACTTAGCAAAGACAAAGTATTTATTTTACCCAGAGAATTTTGGCTTTTGGTCCATTTTAATAAACATTTAAGCAATCTACAAGGTTTGCAAAGTGACATTTTCCAAAATATTTCAGAGGCTCATTTGTCTCTGTTATTGCTGTGCAAATTTAAAAATTAAAGAACAGCTTTTTGACTCTACCCACTGGAATATTTTTCTGTTAGTTTTAATTGTTCCATGTCCACAACTTTCCTGAACACTTGCACATCTTTCTTCCTTATCAGTGGTACTGTTGTGCGGAAATTGATCTCCCCCCACAGTTCTTTGTCATAGTAACAGCAGCATTTGTGCACTATAGCGTTCTTAAATTCTGTGTCCCTGGGATATCATAAGTGAAGATGGAGACACTTGTTGACACAACCTTATTAACACAAACATCTTCTGAACCAAAATCCAGGATATGAAGGTCATTACAGTTGATGATCTTCTGAAAAAAATGCGATACTCTAATCACTGGTAGCTATCCCTGCTTGTGAAGTGGCTCTGGGAAGCTTAAATTGCTTTTTTGCTCCTTGGAGGCTGAAGAATCTTTTATATTCCAGAAAACTGAGTTCTTCCTTTCTGAAAGATGAGAATATGAAATGACCTGAAATATGAATATGAAATATTTAAAGCCATGTGCATAGGGCACTGAACTTATGGAAAAGAGTATTCACTTACAGCTCTGAACTTCAGATCTACGGGAAAAAAAATGTAGTTTCCTTCCCCGTCCTACAGACAGACACAGTAAAATGATGATGACTCCTTAGAAAAAAACAGATGAGAAACTAACAGAAACTCGACGTCCTAGCTACATAAGATTAAAGTTAACAGGGTGGCACAAATACAACTCTGTATGGCATCTGCTTTTTCTATCCCAGCATTTAGTAATTTGTCATAGATTAGGTATGCAGAGAGTCGGTCCTCTCACGTCATTTATGGGTAGATTGCAAAACTCCGTAACATTCTAGGCTGAACTATCATGTCTTTCACCATATTTCCTCTTTAAAGAAGTTCTGGAAAAGAAAACTAAATAGTATGCAATGCAGTGGGGTTTATACTCACACATGACAGAAAATTGAGGAGTTTATGTCAGTCGTAGAGCTCCTTCTGCTTCCAGTGCCTAGAATGGGATGGGAGTAATCCAGCTGTTCACACGAGAGAACTTGTACTTTCAGCTTCTTAAGCTTACTCTTTTTATTTGCACTCCTGGTTAGTCTTCACACAGGTATTGAGAGTTAAACAGAGTTGCGAAGGTTGTCTCCAAAGCCAGGAAAACCCCTATATATCATGGCATGAGTCTGAAATTAGAAGCCACTGATGCCCAGTGGCTCAGAATCCATAAAATGGTCATTCCTTCCACCTAGTCCCCCAGACAGTCCCTGGATGCTGCCACAAGGCTTCCAGTTGGGCAGAGATTTGACTTCCATTCCTAAGAAATGTGTTTCTTCAGACACTCAACTGTCTTACCAATACTTTTAAAGTAATCTGAGCTATATTCTGTCCTTATTAGCTCCAGTAAAATCAATTTTAATCACAAAAATGAAGCAATCATGAAGGCATTTTGTCTTTTAAACTCTCACCAAGGATCAGCACACAACAAAATGTGTGTACAGTGAGCAGTAGGCTTAAAAAGGGAGGGACAAAGAAATATTGCTTGCTTAGTAGTATTAGAAACCCCATGTCTGATTTCTAAAAGCACTTCAGGTCACTATACCCCCTGGATGGGGATGTGATAATCCAGCGCAGCAAACTGACCTCAACAGGGATCCTGGTGGCTGCTGCGATCCTGGCAGGGCCTGAAGAGCTGCCCTTCTGTCTATGATAGCTCTGCACAGAGCAGGCAAAGGAAAAATTGCACATTTTAGAGATGGTTTTGTCTTTAAAACTCACACTGTACAACACAATGATGCATCTTACAGGAACTGCCTGCTGAAGAAATCAAAACGCGTAATGGTGAGCAGCCATCTGCTGAGTCGATAAGGCAGCCTTGAGTGTTTCACCAGGAAAACTCAACAACACTACTGTGAAGTTTTAATAAAATACAGCTAATACACCATGATAATTAGATGAATTATTATCATTTCAGCTACATGATAGAGCTGCCTTTCTGTGCTGGGATTGCTAGTCCCATATTAATTCAAAAACAAACAAAACCCCATCGAAGTTGTCCCTCCTACTGCTCCGACAACAGTCCAAACATGCACATATATAGAATTTTTATAGAGAATCATCACAGTGATGACCAGTACTGGTCTTCCAGAATCACTAAACAAAGATACCAACTTACTAATAGCCCTTATTAAGAGCTCACTCCACCAAAACAATATTTATAAGAATGTAAATGGCTGCTCAGCTCTTACAGGTGCAATCACGCTCTTAAATTTATGATGCATGTGAATTAAGGAGCATGTATATTGCTATTGTGTTTAGAATTTTCACTAAATTAAAACCTTTTTAGATTATTTTAAAGTCTGCAAGTGTGTTAATTACCTCTAACATTGAGATACAATGTGCTTGAATGAACCTATGCAAAATAAAGTGTATTTCCATGCAACATTGGTTTTGTCTGCTAAAGAAGTATTTATGACCCTAGTTTAAATAAAAAAATACTATGCAACTGAGCAGTTTATAGGATTTGCTTTGTGACACAAAACTTACTGTGGAGGTGCATGTTTATATACCTACTAACATATATACACTTTTTAAAAGATAATACAGGCTTATAATAAACTTGGTAGTAAAGAATATAAAGTTGTCAGCCCACAGAAGAAAGTAATATAAAAATGCTTAGTGAATTATTTAGGAGGGGAAATGGCAATGTGCTTCTTTTTATTGGCACATTTGCATTCACCTAACAAAACCATGCCGCTAATCTATTCAGCAGCTTATGAGCAAACAAAAAAAAACTTAGAACTAGTTCTGTGAATCTGACATCAGAGTCCCAACAGTCATTTACAGGGCTGTAAGTAAAGCTGATCTGAAGCTTATTTTATAATCTACGATGAAGTGTATCTTCATTTCTTAAATGGAGAAAGAACACAGGCAGAAAGACAGCTACCAAGTCAATTAAGTTTTTGGCTTCATTGTGGACAAAGTAACTCTCAAGCCCCTTTGTTTCCAAATGTCACGAGCTGGGGATGAAGACGACTATTTTTTTGATGATGAAGACAACCTTGAGTCCATACCTTCAAATCAGGCCTCTAACCAGTAGCTGTGTGAAAGTGTTGAAAAGGCTTTGTTTTCATTTTCATGCTGTACAAAACCTGATTTTTTAATATTTAAATTTGTTAGGAAAAGCCCATAACACCAGCCCAAAACAAACTTGGAATCTTCTGGCCTTATTGCTGGTAAACTCGCTAAAACAACTCTTACCTCATTTGTAATGCTGTAACTCATGCCCTGGGACTTTTTATGCAAGTATGTCTTTTTTACATGCAAGTCTGGAATGTCTGGATCATTAGGACAAAGAGTTTAAAGATAACTTTTCAGCCAAAGTCACAGACTCAGATGTATGGAAGAAGAATGGGAAGATACATAGGCAGATTCAGGAGATGCTACTATGACCACATAAAAATTTAAAATATACAGGGAAAGTGCAGTTTCATGTGACCCATAGAGGAGATAAGTCTGGCCACTGCCTTAATAGCTACATGCACTATAGGTAATACTTAAGGCACCTCTCAATCCAAGTCAGAAGCTATCAAGGCAATCAGAGAATCAAAGGACATTATCTCCAATTCTGAGACACCTGAATCCAAAGTTTCAGGCTAGTGGATTTGGCAATTAAATTGAATTATATTTCCATCATGATTGATAGAAATAGGACGGCAATCTGATATGCCTTAAAGAAACAACAGCAGCAACAAAACCAAACAATGTATCGGCTCTATTGCCACATGTATACATATGCATGCACTTAAAAATTCAGCTTTGTTTGAAGTCATGCAGTTACCATAAATACTCTTAAATAAGTATCATGGTCAGGAACTACCTCAAATAATGTGTCTTTTTAAATAAAGCATGGCTGTATCCCTTAAAAGATCTGCCTTTTTGTGGTGCCTACAGCAAATGAGATTCCAACCATGAGCAAAGATGACAAGCTCCCTTAAAGTGCTCTGCTGACAATGACCTACGTACATGCGAACTAAAAAGAAACCTAAAAGGAAATGTAGAAGAAGAAAGTGAAATTGCCATCATGAAGGGCCCCATGAATCACAAATATGGCTGACTGGCCCAGGATTGCCAGATACGAGACAAAGAAACCGGTAAACATTATTTTCCAAGTACCTGCATGGTCCAAGTCTATCAACTTTGCTGTTAGGTGAAAAATGGCATTGAACTCACGTTCATCATCCTGATTCACCATGAGAAGGAAGCGTGTAGTATCAGTTCATGTTTGCTTTATTTATGATGTTAACTGCTTTGCTGTGATTACACGGATCCTGACTGTTGGAAGAGCTGCTAGCCATGTGTTAAACACATGGGAGCATAATGAACTTTAAATGATGTGAGTGTCATGGCAGCAGCATTACCAATTGGAACTAAAAGAGCTTAACAAAAATTCCCGTTTGACTAACAAAGTCTATTTTTATATGTGGGGCAGAGGTGGGTAAGAGATCAGAGATGGTAGGAATTGAGAATGGCTTCAGATTTTAAAGATTAGGTGGACCTGAGTCACCTCCTTTTATTTTTTCCTATAGTTCCTGTTACCAAATACATGGAATTCAGCTCCTATTGCAATGCATGGGTGTCTTTTATATTTAATCGCTGTGTTTCTTCATCCTACCCTGTTCTCCAAGAAAAACAGTGGTGGGAGTTGGTGGCTAAATTTCATTGTAAACTGAGTGAGGCAAAGGAGAAAGCACAAAGAAAAACAATGTTCTAGCCTCAAATTCTCCCTCATTCCCTCCCATTTCATTTGCAGACCATTAAACTTTGATTTTAAATGTATAAACACTGGCTACTTTTATTCATGATCTTTGTTCTGAACCCAAATACTACATGGCAACATAACTTTCCTGGGAGACACCAAAGATCTCTGTTACAGATGACAGGGTTTTTTAGGTCCAGGCATCTGAATATTTGTTAGATCATAGAAGGCATGTATGGCTTTGAGGCTGAATTCAGTCTTAGCCTCTTTTAATTAATTCTTTATTCT